CCCTCTTTCCATACTTTTTGTTCCTACCATACAAGCATATATAGGAGGCCCAGTTTCTTTCTTTGTCAGTTACAGTTTGTTTGAATTGCACCGGTGAGGTGTTCCCGCCCACTGCAGTGTACTAGGGAGACACAGACCTGGGCAGCCTCTGCTGGGCCCGCTCCTCCAGGTCAACCTACTGAAGGCTTCACTGCTAGGGTGCACCTCCAGGTGCTGGAACCTCGTTTGGGCTAGCCTATTGGGTCTTAGTCCCGCAGCATCACCAAGGCCAAGTGCTCCCCACCAATCCCACTTGATAGAGGAATATGTGACTGAAGTCACTGCAGTGTCCTGTTCTGGCTAGTCTGCCCAGTCCCAGAATGTCCTCTGTTGGAGCCTCCTTATCTTTGGAGGGGCCCCCATTCCTCTCACTCACCGCAGGTTGATGCAAGGCTCCCCGCTAGTCCCACGCTCAACTCTGTTTGCCCATTTCTGCTCTCAGAGATTTTGCCTCTCTGTCCCTGCTGTGCTGATTCATACACAGCAGCAGTGGCAGGAAATTCAAATTGCCATTTCCAGAGGCACAGGTTCCAGCTTTAGTGCTGAGATTTTATCTGTTCTGGTTATAGCACTGGGATTGCATTTCAAGTTGGTTTCTCTCAGCTTAGTTCATTCCTGGGTCAGCAGGGTATATCTCTTCTTGCTTAGGACTCCTCACACTGCACCATTCCTGGATTCTAAGCTGGCTAACTGAGAGAGCCTCCATAGCTGCTGTTATCTATCCACCATGTTCTCCCGGAAGTCTGAATGGTTTTATTATCTCAGTTGTAGTTTTGTAAAGTCTGAAAAACTCATTGCTAGAGAGGGTAGTTGTTTTTTACAGGATGATTGCTTCTACTTTGGCAGTCTTAGTTATGAAGAGGCTCTCATATGCAGCCTGCTAGTGCACCTGCTGCAATCCACGTCTGAGCTGTCACATAAGGATCTATAATTTAAGAATAAAAAACGTGCATGAAGAAGCAGGGGTAATCATAAAGGAAATACAAAGTCAATTCACAGGAATAACTAAGGAAAACTTCCCAAGCATATGAAAAGGAAATGATATTGAGATGTATGAGGCATACAGAACTCCAGCCACCTACAACCAAAACAGAGCTATACCCAGACAAATAATAATCAAGATCCCAGAAATTCATCACAAGAACATAATATTAAAAGTGGCCAGAGAAAAGAAACAGATCACCTATAAAGGAAAACCCATCAAAATCATGACAGATTTCCTGACACAAACTATCAAAACAAGAAGAGCTTGGAACAAAGTATTCTAAGCCCTGAAAGAAAATAACCTCCAACCCAGACTGATGTACCCTGAAAAATTGTCTCTCAAAATTAATGGAGAAACAAGATGCTTCCATAACAAAGAGGAACTGGAGGAGTTCATAATCACCAATCCAATCCTACAAAAAATACTGAAGGACATTTGAGAGAGAGAGAGAGAAAAAAATACCAAGATTTCAGGAACAGTGTCAGAGAGGCTTCGATAAATGGGACAGATGGTGGGATGAAGGAGAAAAGTAGACAACCAATGGCATAAAAATACCATAACAGAAATGAGGCAGAGAAGGTTGGCTATAATCTCTACCTTAGATGGCCTTGATACACTAACAAAAAGAAACACAGGCAGAGTAGACAGGAGATAGGGTCCATCGAGATGTTCTGTACAGGAAATACAATTAACCTGAAAGAAGGTTTATGGGCCAGAAGTCAAATATGAGAAAGCAATGCTCTATGCGACAGGAAACCAGAAAGAAATAGGGGCAACTCGTCTAGCAGCTGCAGATAGGTTGGAAAGACAGGATATTTTTGTGCAGTAGAGAACTATTCAGCTCTAATGAAGGAAAACTTTGAGGCTTTTGTAGGTAAAGGAATACAACTTGAGATCAAGCCCAGGAGTGAGAAGCTCAGAACCAGATAAATAGCAGGTTTCCCCTCCAATCTAAAAACTTAGGGAGTTATTGGACCCAAAATGTGCAGTGCACCCTGTGGGAGTGAAAGGGGAAGAATTATCTAGAAAAGGAAGGCCGAGGATATTGTTAATAGAGTATTAGGATTTAAAATCCACATTATTCTCACCACTCTGTTTAGATGGATTATATTCTGTTCCAGTTTGTCTACTTGTACTAGATTTGAGGGCACAGACAGCTATCCCAAAAATAGCAGGATATATTACAGTAACCATCCTTAATTTCCTAATAACTTAATCTGAAGCCCTGTATAACTTACACTGTCTTATTTTGACTGATCTTATTTGAATCTGGTTTGTTAGATTGCTGTTTTGTATTGACTGATTTTATTTGAATCTGTTATGATTGATAGTATCAAGTCTGAGAGTATAGGCAATTACATTGAAGATGACAAGATTAACTACAATACCTACTCTGATTTGACTATTACCTGCTTTTGAATGCTTTTAATGTCTCTAATGTCTTGTTTTTATTAATATTGTTATGTACTGCTATGTTCAATTATACTATGCCTGATGATATAGACAATTCTATTGAAGATAACAAGAGACATCATAGTAACCATTGTACATCACCTTGTATTTTGGTTTTATATGAATTTTTCATTTCATATTTATGTAGAAATTTGTGGGTTTTTTGTCTTGCTTTGTTTTGTTTTTCCCTCTAATACAGAAAGGATAGATATGCATATAGAGACTCATGCATATGTAGAACTTATAAACAGTTTATGAGAGCTGATTATATGATGCATGATGAAATGAACAACTACTTTGAAGAGAAAGAGACACTACAGTACCTAGTGCTGATTCTGTAGCATCATGATGTGAAATCCAGAAGTACTATTATTCTTGTTCAGAGTGATTTTAGTCTGTTTTGTTATGTTTAATTTCAACACACATGAAGGTGTGGACAACTATTTTGAAAAGAATGGGAGACACTATGACAGCCATTGTTAACTTCCTTATTGTCTGATCTTGAAGACCTAAAATGCCTTCATCATCCTGTTTGGATCAGTTTTATATTATGTTGTTTCACATGAATTCACTGTATGTGAAGATATGGACAACTATTTGGAAGAAAACAAGAGACAGTATGATAGATAGTGAAGCTGTCTGGTTGTCTTGCTTTGAAATCTATGTCTCTTACATTGCTTTTTTATGTTCTGTTTGGTTGTGTTTAAATTTACCCTCTTTAAAATAAAATTTAAAAAATAGAAATGATTACAAACAACTTAAAAGTCCATGTGAATTATGCATAATATTCAACAGAATATTGTGCTGTCCAAGAAAGGATGAGGGTATTCTTTGTATAATGACATAGAAAAAATCTACAATGGAAATTTTAAACAAAACAACAATAAAAAGTGTAGGGCTTGTGCACAATTGCAATTTCCAAAGGAGGCAGAAGTAGGTATCTACTCATAATTGTGCTAATATATATGAGTATCTTTGCAATCATACAAGGAATTTTTGATCTCCACTCTGTGTGGAAATTGGAAGGCAAGAGAGAAGGGTATGTCAGAAGGGAGTGGAAGTTCACATTCAATAAATATACTATATGTTGATATACAAGTATCAATAAATATGTAAAAGTGGACTGGCTGAGAGGTATATGTATGTACATGTCTGCCATCTCACACTTTCTTGCCAGGTGAGTGTAACACTTAATTACTTATAGGAAATTTCTAGCAGATATTTTTATTTAACAAGACTTTTAGATATTGAACTTTCAAATATTAGAGCTGGATCTTCTGTCTGAGCTACAGTAGTCCTGAGAATTCAAGAAGATTTTCTTCCAGGGCCCATGTTTATGGGTTAGGCAAGGAGGTTAAGGAAATCATCAGTTTCCTGGTATAAAATGTCTGCAAGAGCTCTTGCCTAAAACTAATTTGTCTAGGAAAGCACTCTGCCAAGTTGGGTCTACTTTCTCATTTATTTTTCTTTTTTTTTAATCGGTACCAGGGATCGAACTCACAAACCACCTGCTTGCAAGGCAGATGCTTATGCTGCTAAGCTAAATCCCCAGCCCCTACTTTCTCATTTCTTCTTCTCCCCAAAGACAAGTCAGAAATTTGCATGTCTTGCATTTTATTCTGATGTGTTTCCCTAGGTTGCAAAGACTTCCTTAAGATCAAACAAAAGAACAATTCAAAATATTGGCATTGGTCCTGACAAAGAAAGCAACTTTAAAGACTGGGAAATAAATTATTTTGCAAGTTTGATTCTTGCAAAAAGCAGTTGCAAGCAAGACCAATTGAGTTGTCAACTGGAAGGAGATTAAAAATTATTTTTGATAATGGGTTACTAAGATTATTTTTTATGTATAACTGAGAACTTTTGAGAAATGAATGATATTGTGATAAGAAAATTCCTTTCAAAGTCTTCCAGGAAGATAGTAGAGCAGTAAGCAACAGAGAAAACAGCTATTCTGAGAGCCACCATACAGACGCTGGGATACAGCATTGTGAGGAAGACAAGAAGGAAGAAAGTGGGTCCCCTGAGACCAGGAAGAATCTGAAGCATACAGAGAGAGTAAAAAGAAAAACTTCAACAAAGAAGGTGGTAGCTGGTGGTATCTTCTCCCTGAGACAGACTCACTGTGTGAAAGGAGCTCTTCAAACCTGGGAATACATGGTTACAGTGACAGTGATGGCTGGTGAATCCGACCCCAGAGGCCTCTGTGGAGAGATGCAGCAGTAGAGGGGAGTGGTGGATGTGGAGGACTGCAGTGGCTGGCAGGGAGTGCAGAGGACTTAGTCCTCCTGTGCAGAAACAGCAATTAGGGGTGGAGTCACACAGCCTTTTGGAGCTCATGATGTATCACAGATGTTTGAGTTGTTCCACATGAAACTATAGGACGTAATGTCTGCCTTGCTGGATTTTGGACTTGTTTTAGTCCCAATTCTTTGAATACCTCTGTTTGCACCTTTTGGAATGGTAAAGTTTATCTTGTGCCATTGAATGCTGGAAGTGTTTAACTTTCTTTTCATTTGTACAGGAGCTCACAGTTAACAGTTTGCTTTCCACCTTGGAGAAGACTTGGGACCAGGACTTTTCAGCAATGCTGACACTGCTAGGACTTTGGCAACTCCTGGAGATGGACAAAATGCCTTTTGCATAGAGGATGTACAGGAGTCTTTGGATGGCCAGGGGCAGAATGCTACGGTTTGTGTCCAGATTTTCCCCCCAAAGCCTCCTTCAGTCATAGAGTCGGGTGTCTAGAGTTTGTGATTAATTCATGGCCCAATATTGGGACTATGGGTGTGAGTGCTACACCCACCATGGCTTGGGTAGCTGTTATACAAATAAGGGAGAGAAAGAGGATGCTTTCACACACATCCCTTTTTGCTCTTGTTGCTTTTGCTGTTTTCCACTGATATATAATCAGGAGTACAGTTCTTTTGGAGAAATACAATGAAATGAGTTAAAAATAAAAAAGGAACAGTGTAAAATAATTTCTTGATACAGTGTTAAAAATGATGATGGTAGATACAAAATAGCTATTTGGATACATTTTAAGAAATGATATAACTATGTTTTTAAAAAATCATTTTAACCCATATTTATGATGTTTTGCATTTAGCTGAAAAACTTTTAAACAATACAAAACTCCTAAGGATTAATGTGGCTTTTCAAAAACTTTTAAGGCATAAGTGAACAAGTAATTTTGCCTTACAGACCATCTGGATGAGCTCTTTTTGGGAACTGAAAAGCCTATCTATCAGTATCTAGACATCTTTTTCAAGCTCACTGAGTAACCAAAGGAACCAGACCCTGTGCTCCTGCACCCTGCTCTAAGTAGCAGATCCAATCCAGGAAGCATGCAGGATGGAGTGAGTCCTGAAGGACTGGCAGAAACAACCGAGTCACAAAGCGAGAAAAGAGGATCTCAGACCAAGAATGCTCTTCCCCACATTCAGAGCTTCTGTGTACTTTTGATGGTCCCTTAAAAACTCTTGAAGCATAGTAGAGACTCCCACAAACATACCACTTATTTTTTACTGTAAATTTTTACTTTAGTGGAATAGTAGCTGGCTGTGGTCTCAATACCTTTCCATGAGGGATACAAGAAGCAGTCTTTGCTTTTATCCACTTGGTACATTGAAAAACAAGGTGAGTGCACGTGTGCAAAAGTGTCAAATCAGAATTTACACTCACATGAGGTTCCATCTAACAGATGTTTACCGGAGTATCACAGAGGGTATAATCATATACCACTCTAGGATTTGTTTTTTTAAAAAGTTTTTCTTTTGATTTTTCTGGCATTTACATTGTAGCTCATGTAGGTTTTTATTTCTGGTATTATCTCTTAGGTTTTGTAAATAGGCACACAGCTGACACAAAAATGTTAATTTTAAGTACTCATTAAACATTTGATATTTTATTGACATCTTATTTTCTCATTATTTAGGTATAATAATTGAAATAAAGATTTTTTATAGAATGCTACTGGTATTTTCATTGTAGTTCATATAGGAATTTATTTCTGATGTTATCTTTTAATTTTATAAGCAAGTACTCAACTGATGTGAAAATGTTGATTTTTATTTTAAATGCACAGTACATATGAAGAATTTAATGCTTTGTCTTATGGGTATTTTATATTCCTGTTAACCACACATTGCATAATATAGAACCTCTTGCCAAAACAGCAAGACCAGTCACATATCAAGTATGTCCTACAAAAATGCCAGGAAACAAATCATATGTGCTGCCAGTACAAGTGATGTGTGTGTATGGAACATGCTGTTGTCATGTGTGAAGACTGTTAGGTGTGATAATTGAAGCAAAGACTATTTTTGTAGAGTGCTATTGATATTTTCATTGCAGTTCATAGAGAGACTTATTTCTGTTGTTGTGTTTCAGACTTTGTATACCAAAAATCAATGTTGAAATTTTTGATCCTTTTTTATAAACAATAAATATTAAAAATGCAATACTTGAATTTTCTTATCAAGCAATCATTGTATAATAAAATTTATAAAATTAAATTTAATAATTCATCAATAGAAATATTCTAAAGAGTAAATATGAGTGTGACACACCCATAGTCATACTGCTTTATGACAAAAAGTGTGTTAGGCTCCGATTAAGACCACCCTTCATTTCCTTCCCCTTTTTTCCACCCGTCCCTCCTGTGAAACTCTTGCTTTCCTGTGCCTAGCAGGTGCCCCTTTTGGCGCTGCCTTATTCCCACCATCTCTGAGGTCTGAGGAGAGCAGAGCTGCACAGATCAACACTTGGTACTTCCCTAACTCTGCCTTAACGGCTTATGTTTCATCTTTCTCTATTCTCCCCTTACACCTGCTTTCTGGCCTTGCCCAAACTCATTCAGCTTCAGTGTAAGTGAATATATCTTATTTTCTAAATTAGCATGCATTAGAAAGATGAAAGAGTGCTACTAAGAATTATGCCAGGAAAACAGGTGGAAACCACAACCGTCCTGGGATTTGAATCTCCTTAGCTATGGGGCTGCTGGTAAGAAAGGGAAGGAGGATAAAATTGCTCAAAGTGTTAGGTTAGATGGGGATCAAGGCAGCAGATAAATCAGGGAGATCTGGCTGGAAAGGGCTACTTTACAGTAAGACCCAAAGGAGAAGGGAAGTTCATTGGCAATGAATGTTGGGTGACTTTTGTCCAAAATGCTGGGACTGACAACACTGTCACGTGTGAAGTCAGAAGCTATCTACTTAATGTGATATGGGAGTACTAAAATTCCAGAAAGGAGTGTGTATAAAATGTATGTATTTCTGATAACTTCTACCATGATATTTCCCACATTAAAGTTACTGCTTAGACCTTCTGCAAAGTGGTGCATTTTACCTGGGTGATATAACTGGTGGGAAAGGTATAGATCCATCCTTCTTTTCCTTGTAGAGAAGTAACATGAGAATGTGGGTCACTGGGTGGGTAAGTTTCAAACTGGGACCAGGAAGGACATAAGCAACGATTTTTGAATGAAAGGTACTGAGCCAGGCTTCCGGGAGGAGGAGACCCTGTAGGACCACAGCTTCTGAGCCGTCATTCCATATGTCATGTTCATATCTACAAGCCCATTTTGCCCTTTCTATAGCCATGTAGGTGGGCATGGGGAAAGACAGAAGAAATTAAGTCAGGTAGAAAAGAAACAAAGAAGATCATAACTAAAGATTACATTTTAAAGAAGATTACAATTTCTAAGACAGTTGAAGTTACCCTAGGCGATCCATATCTGTACTCCCTTGGTTAATTTAGACATCTTTTTTTTTTTTCAGACCCATCATACTCAAATTCTTTAAGGGTATTGTAAATCTATATACTGACTTAGTTAAAAAATAAAGAACAGGAACTTGATCTTCAGATAGTAGAATAGACAGAAAATTCAAAGATTGTTTAAACTATCTATCCTTAAAAAAAAAAAAAAAACTACTACTGGGCTCATACCTCCTTTGGAGGGTTACCTTTTCCGTAGGTTTCCATCCTCTAAGAAAAACAAATGTTCCCAGTTCCAAAAGAAAACTCCTCTCTGTCGGGAACTTTTAAAATTTTGCCTTTTAAACCCATTTATGCCTCTTATTGACAGGTCATAAAAATTCTTTCTCCATGATGTGAGTCAGCAAACCTGCAAATCTATAATGTGGCTAGGGAGGTTTAGGTTGTCCACCGCTGCCTCAGGAACCTCCCAGAACCCTACCCGGTGACAGGCAGAATCTTTTCTACTTTCCCTGCAGTGGAATGCACAGACAGCTCATTGCCTCTCAAATTGTGTTTGAAAGGATGATTACAGGGCTGGAGCTATAGCTCAGTGGAAGAGCTTGTGCTTAGTAGGCATAAAGCCTGGATTGTGCCAGAAACTCTTACGTTCATGCAGTTCTCCTTGTTGACAAATGTTATATTGTGCATTTTTTTATCCAGACAGTAAGAACCTATGAAAAGGTTGGCAGAGTCAATTTCATCATTGTACCATAAACACAAAGGAGGCCCATACTCTAGGTGTTCTGACTGTCAGTTTAGTGATTCGGTTTCTTTCTCATAGGCCACAAACCTCTGTAGGTTATGAGAGACCAGTCACAGCAAGTTTTCATTGGTCTTACAGGGAGGATTATTGGATCACTCCACTCACACCTGTTGAGAAAATATTTATTGACAACTATGTTCTTTCATAACCTTTACCAAGGTAAGCCACTAAAGAGTGGATTCCTCACCCACTGTGTAACTTTTCTCTGACTTTTATCTGTTCTACACATTAACATGGCCTCGTCTGTGGCCCGGGACACTATCCACTGCCATTGCTTCCATTGGGACTTCTCTCATGTCAGATCTTTTTACATCACCAGCCGATGCTCATCCCTCAGGCTAAGACTGATTTTCCTAGACATTTCTTATTCCCTTGTATAAAGTGGCCTCCCTGGTCACTTTCTATCACGTCATCCTCTTTATTTTCTTGGTAAAACAGCACAACCTGTAATCATCTCCTGTAGTTATAATGCACTTTCCATTTACATATATAATTTTATATACTTATGTACTCTTCACTATACAATCATGTCTCCTCCATTAGGGCATAGGTCCACAAGACAAGGGCCAAGACTAACTTTTCATTGCTCTAGTCCTAGTGACTGGAGCACGGGAGGTGCTCAACAAATACCACTTTGTGAATGGGATGAGTAAGCAGATGTGACAATGAATGCACGACCTGTGTCTGTGGCCAGTTGGCAATTCTATGGGCCGCTGTGCTCTAATTACAGCCAGAGTTCATTCTAGAAGCTATAGTCCATCACTCCCTCACTTACTGGCGAACCTATGTGGCAGAAGAACATCAGCTACAGGACAGAGTCTTCCAAATTGTCTGCCTCCACAAAAGAGTCACCAAGCTTGCATCAGGCTAACTTGCCTGGTCCAGATTCTCCAATCTACATATAAAGTGCTCAATATTTTTTTTAAAAATGGAAATCCCATACTCTAATCCAATTTTAATGAAGCAGTGATGAGGAAGCATAGCATGTAGCATTGTTTAATTGGAAAATATATCAAGCAATAAAAACAGGTTTAAATCTTACTTCACAAGATGCTGAACTCAGTAATTATTAAATCCCGAGAGATCCCTGAGGCTCCAACACATGTTAACCCTGGAATGATTTCACTGAACTTTGGCATCTCAGAATTTAGATACTTGGAATTTAGATACTGTTGTCGGTTTTGTTTTTTAAATATCTACTTTTGCTTCTATTTTATGACCATTATGTTGGCCCCTTTGCAGTGAGAATTTTCTGAGGTTCTGGTGAAAATGAAATAAGCTAAAAATGAATGATAAAGGACAATCTTAGAAACAAAGAATAGAAAAGAAGATCAAAGTTTGGATTTTTCAATTCCAAAACCATTTTTAGATTTCCACTAAAACAGTATATGAAATTCTACACTAACATATTTTATCCTGTAAAAAATGTTCAAACTAAATACAAAATTGTAAGTGAAGACTGCAAATAAAGAACTCTTTATATCCATCTGTATCATCAGGAAAGAATTGCAAATTCCTAAACTGTGACTGTAATTTTGGCAGTTTTCATCTCATACTCTAATATAGGAAAGAGTTGTAATAGTCTAATATTAGCATAAAAACTACATAAATCACGTTGGAACTGGGATATGGATTTTTAACCCTATTGATGTAATGATGTTAAATAGTTAAGTTGATTCCTGTTTTATCTTGTTGTTGCAACAGGGTTTTGCTGTGCAGTTCAGGCTGGCTTTGGACTTACTTTGCAGACCAAGCTGTCCTCAAACTTGTAGCAGTCCTCCTGTCTCAGCCTCCCAAATGCTGGGATTACACTTGGGCACCACCACACTCTGCATTCCTTCCTTTTTAAAAAGGCAGAGTTTAGTAACAATAGACTGTCCAATTTAAACTCACTGAGGTAAATCAGAATAAAGGAATAGATATGAAAAGTACCTGCATAACCATGTGTAAAGGAGCCCAGGCCAATGGATGCTGTCTCTGAAGGAAGGGAAGCTTAAAGCTAAAGAGAGCTACTGGGCAGACTTAGTTGTGGACTCAATCTAGTACACCACAGGGATGTCTGGTGAACCCCATTAGGGTCCCAAATTTATACTCTAGGGATTAGGTGAACTATCAGAAAAGCATTGAAGACTGAAGCTCAGATGCAAATAAATTCTTCTCTGAAACTGGACCAAGCTGATCCAGATGGAGATGCTCCTCTCTGGACCATGCTGGACCTAAAATTAACTCTGCAAACAAAGTTGCAGATACAACATGGGCACATAATAAAAATAATCAGTCTCTTAGTAGAGACTTCCTGCCTTCTGTGCTCAAGGGGATAATGAAAAGAGTTTATAACTTGGGCAAAAACTGAAAATATAAAAAGGAAGAAAAAATAATATAATGAATTAAGTTTACAGAAAGGGACTGGGATGGAACCCAGGGCCTCATGCATATTAGGCAAGCACTCTGCACTGAGGCTCACCCCTAGCCTGGGAAATGTTTAGACGTGAAAACAACAAGAAATTAAAACTTCAATAGATGAGGTTTAACTATAATTTGACAGAGATAAAGAGATTTCTCAAAAGGCATATGCATCAGAAACAACTTAGAATGGACTGTTTTGGCTTATATCATCAAATTATAATAGGACAAGAATTAAAATATATAATTACCATCAGCTAACAGTTAAGAAGAAATAAATGGAATTAAAATATACTGAGACCCTTATATTGTGCAGGAAGAGGTGTAAAACAACAATCATGTGATTTATGAAGAATACATTTACTACCTATAAAAAATTATATAACTTTCAAATTAGGAATATCAAAAGTGAAATATTAATAACTTAAAAATTCCTACCTGGGTATGGTGGTGCATGCTATAACTCATATACTCTGGGAGACTGAGGCAGGAGAATCTCAAGTTTGAGCAAGACCCTGTCTCAAAATAAAAAAATATCTGGGGGTGCAGCTTACTGTGAAGTCTTAAGTGCAAGACCCCTCATTCTCTTTAAAATAAAAACAAAGTAAAAAAAAATTTAAATCAAATCAGAGAAATGACTTTATCCATCTGTATATGAATTCAGAAATGTTAAAGGTCAATAAATAGCTAAAGGAATACTTTAGAATATCGATATAGAGAAAAGGGTATTATTTTACTAATTTTTTTTTTTTTTTGGTACCAGGAATTGAACTCACAACCACGTGCTTCTAAGGCAGGTGCTTATACCGCTGAGCTAAATCTCCTATTTTCCTACTATCTTCCTACAGAAGTAATGATAAGATATACATTTTATTAAGAAGATAGGACAATTCTACATTCATATCCACCCAAAACATATACTCAAAATAAAGCAAAAATTGACAGAATAAATGAGAAAACAGACAATAGTGTTTCAGTGATACGTTTTTAAAATGAGTACATATGTGCAGTCCATAAGGCTTTCTTTCATCTTAGGGAGCAGGTACATACCTAAACATAGTTAAATTCTTCTCATTCCACTTCCCCATCCCTCTTCTCTCCTTCCTCTGTCTCTCGATCCACTTTCCATTCACAAAAGATCTCCTTGTTTCTATTGCCTATTTTTACTTTTATTTTTAAAAATTATTTATATTTTGACTTTATAATATAAAAGAAATTGAAGGAAGTTAACCTTCTGTTTCTCACTTATTTCACTTAACATTATAGTCTGAAGATGCATCTATTTTTCTACAGATGGCTCAAGTTTATCTTTCTTTATGGAGAATAGTACTTCATTATGTATAAATACCACATTTCCTTTACGCATTCAACAATTGATAGTATAAACAGACAAAATCAGATAATATCAGCAACATAGTTAGCAAATAACTTGATAGACAAGAGGCAGCATTCAATAACTGCGGAGTATATGTGTTTTTAAAGCGAACATATAAACATGATCATACACTGTGTTTAAACCAAGTCTCCACAAATTTCTGGGGACTGAAGTTGTAGAGTATATGCCCTCACCACACCGCAGATAAAAATCAATTAATGACAAAAACATTCTAGAGAAACCATATGAATGGAAAGAACTATGCTTTTTTAAAAACCTGGATCAAAGAAAAATTACAGTGGAAGTTAGAAACTATTTTAACCATTATGAAGTGAACGAAAATGATGCATGTCAAAATATGGAGAAATGGGGGCTGGGGATTTAGCTCAGCGGCATAAGCGCCTGCCTTTCAAGCAGGCAGTCATGAGTTCGATCCCCGGTACTGAAAAAAAGGAAAAAGACAAAAAAAAAAAAAAATATGGAGAAATGTCCCAACTTTAAAATGTTAGATTTAATCTATTGACTTTCTGCTAAGGAAGAGCTACCTTTGACTCACTAAAAACTCCCATGCTCTATCTGCGTGCCAGAAAGCTATCCCTTCTCTCCACTTCCCGCCCTTCCAAATATTGATAGCATTTTGGTTAAATTAGTATCCACTGGATCTGTCATTTTGGATATGTAAATATGTTTCACAAATGTAAATACGACAGATGTTGCAGGCCATTCTTTTACCTGTTATACCCTCAGGCTTTTTTCTTACACCTTTGCTACCCCAAAACCTCTTCACCCCAGCTGCCAATAACATCAGCTAACAGTTAACTAAAAATGTTCACAGTCATCAGACTGTTGAGGCTGATGCAATTCAACATGGAAAGAGATGTACATATAGTAAGAATAATCCTAAAGATATAAAAATAAAACAAAAATAATAACAAGGAGTAGATGCTCTAAAGTGCATGGAAATAGTTTTCCTTTTAACCATAAGTGCAGAGTGTGGGGGTGCATGCTTATAATCTCAGCTATTTGGGAGGCTAAGACACAAGGATCACAAATTTGGAAGCTGCTTAGGCAGTAAGTGAGACCTTGTCTCAAAGCAAAAATTTTAAGTGCCTGGGGATATAGCCCAGTTGTAGAGCACTTGGGTAGATATGATCTATGAAGACAAGAGTCAGAGTTTTCTTTTTTTCCTGTTTCTGTGAAAGACCTAGAAACTTCATCACCACTCATCACTTGATTCATTTAGGACACATCTACAGGACACTAGTGAGTGTGGAGCACTGGGCTAAAGGTAGAATGGTCTCTCAGAAAGAACTTCGAGTCTTGTAAGTGTCACAAGTATAAAAAGGCAACAAGAAAAGTGTAATAAAGCTATGCTGATGGATTTGGGTGCTGGAAGACACTGGGAGAGGTGGTCCTCAGGGAGGGCTGAGTGGGTGACCAGAGACTTCCAGAAAAGCTGTCTTTTAAAATGATATCTAAAATATAAGGATTTGGAGCCCTGCAGCCAGGGGAAAATGTTAAAATAAACCTCTAACTTGAACTCACTGATTTATAAGACCCAAGAAACCATGATTGAAGATAGCTTATGTGCTGTTTCCCTATAACAGGGAAAGAGAAGACAATCTGCTCATTGCTGCTAAAATCTACAAATTGCCTTCTACAGATTGCCTTAAACCTGAAACGTTTTCTGCTACTGATGTGCTGTGTCCTCAGAGGTTTTGATCTCCTTCCCTTTACCCATGATGTAGAGTGGCCTCAGAATACTACCTGGCAATTGCAGGTGAGTTCATGAACAGTAAAACAGGAACTTGCTCAGAAAAATGTTCTCAAAAGTTGATTAGCCAAGTCCAGCCTTGATCAGACTGTAAATATCACACTGATACAAACCACTTTCTACTACTGATCTGTTTCCCAGGATCTTTCCTGCCATTTATCACAGACTAGATGAATTCTGAAGCTCTAGACCAAAGTAAAAATGCTAAGAGGTATGCAAGTGCCCCCGCAGATTAGCAGGGTGTTTCTGAGTGCACTTTACAAGCTCAGATTTGCGCTGGGCGAGCTCTGCGGCCTGTGGTAAGGTTGGCCAGCTACATTTGTTTCTTCCAGTTTCCATGGACACCACCCAGAGGGGTTTAAGTTTCTAACTCAGGCTTCCTTTCTTTGGATTTTTCCCTTGGAAACCCACAGCAAGTTTTGTCTGGGTCTTGGTTTTCAGATGACATGACATGGCTTTCTCTGGATTGTCTCCCCTTGAATGTGGTAGCAATTCTCTCCATTCTTGAGAAGGTGGCAATGGAGTTGGCCAAATACTGTGGCTGGCACTAGAATCCAGGTTTCTTGAACTGAAGATCTGAACCTTGTCAGGAACATGACAATTAATCGAGTTCCTTGTAAGTTCAGTGTTGGCTGGGCAAGTGAAATGAGGTGAAAAATTGATAGAAATATTCTGGAGCAGTCACACTAGAAAGAAAGAAATAAAAGCAACCTAGTTTCAACTTTTTAAACCTTTCAGTAAAAGAATGTTATCCCAGACAGGAGAATGTGTGTACTTTACACTGAAAATGGGGACATGGCCCTAGCTGGTCCCCTTTTACCCCAAACACAGACTTCTCTGTCTCACATGCACTGTTTTCTTTTCTTTCAATTTTTCTTTTTATTTTATTTTAAAGAGAAAAAAACTCAAAATTTCAAAACATGACAATTGAGAGTAACAATGGTATATATATTACATATTGTTATCTTCAAATAAGTTACTCAGAGTACAAAATATCTGCATTTAATCATCTGAACAATACTAGCACAAATCTTTTCAATGCACTCAGAAAAAGCAGTAATATAACTATCTTAATCATCTTTCAGCTTTTCACACTAGTGAGACACATGTTTATGCATGTGTGTCTGATTTATTTCACTAATAAGTGTGGTCTCCAGGTGCATCCATTTACCTATAAAAGTCTCAAGTTTATCCTTCCTTATGGATGAGTAGTACTCCATGATATAAAAATACCACATCTTTTTTATCCATTCCTTAGTTGATGGGCATTTAGGTTGTTTCCAAGATCTGGCTATTAGAAATTGGGTATATCATTGTGGTATGATGTTTTTAATTCTTTTAGGAAGATACCCAGAAGAAGAATAGCTAGGTTGAATGGAGCTTCTAGTACTAGTTTTTTGAGGAATCTCCACACTGATTTCCACAGTGGTTGCACCCATCTGCATTCCTGCCAATAGTGGAGGAGGGTTCCATTTTCCCTCAGCATTGTTATTGTTTGATTTCTTGATAATAACCATTCATTCTGGGGTGAGGTAGAATCTCAGTGCTGTTTTAATTTGCATTTCCTAAATGACAATTGATGTTGAACATTTTTATAATTTTTATATATTTTATATAGTTTTATATTTATATATTTTTATAATTTTATGACAACAATGTATTTTTTATCTGAGAAGTGTGTATTCATCTCAGATGCCCATTTTTAGATTTGGTTTTTAAATCTGGGAGGAGTGATTTTTTTTTTTTTTTTAGTTCTTTATATGTTCTCGATAGTAATCCTTCATCTAAGTTACAACTGGCAAACATTTTCTCCCACGTTGTGGGTTGTGTCTTCACTCTGTTGGTGGTTTCTCTTGATGTGCAAAAGCTTTTTAATAAGATAAGATCCCAGTTGTTGATTCTTTGTGATAGTTCCTGTGCAACTGGGCTTTGTTCATAAAGTTTTGCCTACAGTTATGTCTTCAAGAGTTTTACCTACTTTATCTTCCAGTAGATTTATTGTTTTAATATTCAGATCTTATATCCATTCTGAATTTAGTTTAGTTCATGGTGAAAGATATGGGTCCAACTTTAATCTTTGGCATGTGCAGAGCTAGTTTTTCCAGCACAGTTTGTTAAAGAGGCTATCTTTCTTCCAGTGAATATATTTAGTACCTTTGTCAAAGATGTGGCAGCTTAGTGTGTGTCTGGAGTTGTTTCTGCATCTTCTACTCTGTTCCATTGGTCTTCAGGTCTTTTTTTTTTTTTTTTTTTTTTTTTTTTTGTCAGTACCATGCTGTTTTTATCAAGGTAGTATTATAATATAATTTCAAGTCAGGGATTTTGATGCCCTTATCTTGCCTTTGTTGCCCAGGATTGCCTTTGCTATTCTAGGTCTCTTCTGGCTCCAGATGCATTTTAGGATTATTTTATCTAATTCTGTGAGATTTTATTGGAATATTGGTCGGGATTGCATTGAATCCTTGCATGCACTCTTAAAAAAAGTGTTCTCAACTCACTCATTTTCTTCATATTCACTGTAGGAGAAAGAATCATTTCTATTTCTTTTTCTTTTCTAAGCAATGCTTGCACTGGTCATGGCCAGAAAGTAACAAGTAGGATGGAAGAAATTATGTCAAATGCAGGTCGTAAATGAACTCAAGAGTTAATTACTTGTGTACAGCATCAGTGGTCTATAGGAAACCAGGTGAAGCTTGTGGATGAGCAAGGTGCAGGTAGGCTGTCTTCAACAAGCCCCAATGCTTCATGTATGTCTGGGTGGTCCGGTGGTTGCAACAGGGGGCAAGAAAGGGCAGGAGGATGTGGGCTCCGTGGCAGCCATCTTGGGAGGTTGTGGGCAATGGCTGCTCTGTCAGCTCAGCCCTGTGGGTGGTCTCTCAGACACTAGCTCCCCCAGGCACAGCACAGCCCACCCCTTGCTTATGGCCTCTGCCAGAATGTTTATTAGGAGTCCTGCTCCCTAAGGAGACTAAATTACTAGGAGGTCGTAATTAAAGACTTCATTAGTTTCTTGTTGCAAAGTCCATGGTTAGTGCAATGTTAGGCCTGCAGTGTGAGTGGCATTGGGTAGCTTACCAGCAATCAGTCTCAGCTATTCTCTTACCCATGTGCCTACACGCCTGACTTCCAAGTAGTCTGCTGCAGGGAGTCAGTTTCTGAGTTAAAATGTTTCAAACAAAGCAAGAAACAAAAAACCCCTTGGGTCTGCACACCCATCTTTGTAAATTTGTAGTATGGCCAAAATTAAGTTGGGAAATGTAGCAATTTGATGTTCATTGGTCACCTTTTAATTGTTTTCTATCCTTACCTCATTCTATAAGTAAAGGGATAAAGGTAGACTTTACTGATTGCCTGTCTCTCAAGACTGTCACTGTAAGAAGCCTTCTAGCACCAATTTTAGGCAGGTGAAGCAGGCAGTGAGGAATACGGAGCTAAGAAATGTGCCCAGACCTGCCAAGGAAAGCTAGGAGACTGTGCCCATGAGATCTGAACATTGTTTGACTAGAAAGAGTCATTCTGTGGCCTATTCCTATTGTATGAGAGAATTAATATCAAAACCACTAAAACATAAGTACTACTTTGTTTCAGAGAATATTCCTTAACATGCATTATCTCATTTGCTTCTCACACAGTGGCTGTACACCAAAATCTGTTTTCCTTTTTCTGGAGTTGTAGCTGGAACATAGCTGTCTGACTGGGAACTACATTTTCCTGCCTGCTTTGAAGCTGAGGTAAGTCACGTGACTATACCTTCACCAGTGCAGTGTGAATCAGGAAGCTGCCATTCTCAAGCCAGAGCCCTTGGGGAGGCCAGGCCAGGCTCTTTCCTTGTTCTTTCCTTTTCCCTGTTGGCTGATTGACAGAAAGTAGAATAGTGTTAGGCACATGCAAACCCACAGCACCTATCCTGGCTGGATTTGTCTCTAGGAAGCTGGGTCCTGATGCAACAAGGAACTAGCTCCTCACTGCCTTTGGCTTCAGTTCTTTGTGCCCTTAATGGAAGAATTCAGTCCAGATGGGAGCCATATAGATAGACTTTATTGTGAAGCAGACCTGGAAAGAGTTATGCCTTCAAGGGAAAAAGTGAATGGTGTCACAAACACATCTATACCAAGTGTGAGTTGGGACAATTTTTTATGCACACACGTTACTCATGGGGTTCAGAGAACTATGGTGATTATGGTCCTTATTGACATTTCTCTATCTCAAAGTGCCTTCCATGCTTTTTTCAGGAGGTCAGAGTTCCCTGATCATTTAAGAAACTTAGGAAAGAAAGTTATGATAGCTAAATTTCAATCTAAATCAGGTCTCAGACCAAGGAGGGGTCCATACAGAACACTCTTCTTTCTGCTATCCCTGGGATATACGCCAGTGATAGCCCAAACAACCAACGGTGCTGTGTGCCTTGTTGGGACATAGAGGATTGATGGCCAGAGATGGAGAGGAATGTGAACATCACAAAACTTATAAATATACTAGATAATAAGTCTTTGTTTCTTCATTGTTCTTGGCGAATTACAATATTTTGGGCCCCGAACATGCATGCACTTTGTCTCTTTTTCCTTTAGGCTAACTGCCTAGCTAATAATTTCATGACAGAGAAACAAATGGCTTGCTACTTAGCCTACCTCATGTCAAAGATATTTACTGTTCAGTTTGTGTGACTGTAGCAGACTTAGCAACAACCTTCCAAGGTGGATTTTTTTAAAAATCCATTTTACTGAGGATAGCACGGTAGCTCAAAAAATTAGATATTTTGTCTACAGTCATGCACTGGGATTCAAATCAAGGTTTCCTGAACACTGTGGCCATACAGGTCAGACCAGTAGTTTCAGGGGGTGCGGGAGAGGAGTAAATTGATTGGCAAAGTGCATAGGAGAGACCTTTACTTCTTCCTCTTCTTCTTCTTCTTCTTCTTCTTCTTCTTCTTCTTCTTCTTCTTCTTCTTCTTCTTCTTCTTCTATTTAAAGAGAAAGATGCTTAGATTAGAAACTGTCTTTAACATTTAGGCAACATTTTACCATTATACATTTTCATACAATTAGTTCATTTCAATCTCATAAGTACCTTGAGAGATACGTATTCTTATTCCCATTGTACAGATAAAGAGATTAAGGTGTGAGTAACATAGATATCTTGATCACAGTTAATAAGGACTGGCTCCAGGATTTAAACATAGATTTTTTTTCACTCTTCATTTTGTACCCATCCCATTATATAGACACTAAAGGAACTCTCTTGAGTGGTAATTTCAAAACTCAACTCAGATTTTTTATTTAAGCAAAAGACAAAAAAATAAACAAAACCCTATACAAAGCCACATCCTCCTTATTCACATAACTGGGGAGGACAAAGTAGAACTGGTCCAATAGTGTGGCTCTAATATTTAATTTCCTGTTCTCTCCTGTCGATGTCCGCTCCCGGCCGGCAGGAAGGACACACGACAAAGTCTGGTAGTGGACAACCTTTTCTTTTTATTTTCCTTCTCCGTACAGCCTGCCCTGGGTTCTCCCATCTGAAGCCTCCTCTGGTCCGCTCCCCGCGGCTCCTTTTGTGCTTCAGTCTGCCCCAAAGCCTCTACCGGTCCGCTCTCCGCGGCTCCTTTTGGGCTTTTACTTTTGGGCTTCTACCTGGCTTCTACTTCCGCCCAGGGGTGGCGCCGGTATATATACGGGTACAGTGTCCAATCATGTTAAAGTAAGCAAGGCAAGCTGATTGGCTAACATCATCAGTTGCCAGGCAGACTATATTGTTGAGCGGGTTGTTTACGCGGTAAGCAGGAAACTAACATATTCGATGGGAGGGGTAATCTACCTCAGGCTTTGCTCTTTACCACAGGCCGCACGTCCGCCGCGCAAGGCGAGCTATCACAGACGCGGCTCCCAACATCTCCCCCTATTTTATTTTTTATGAATGTGCGCATCGTAGCCCTTCCTGGACTGGGTGCAGAGGCTTATGCCCTATGTGTAGGCCCACCGTAGGTCCTTGGCTTAGACCCTGGTTGGCCATGCCATGGTCTGCCAAGGCCCTGAGGCCCTCGTCCTTTTTCTAGGGCCAGGCACAAACTGGACGGAACCTGGATGCACACAAGCTTGCACTCATTTCCTCTCCGTAAAGAAATCCCCTCGGAGAGAAATTTAGACCTGGGCAGCATCTAACAGTCCAGCGGCTTACGTGCAGGATGGGGTAGGGCCTGGCTTAGGTCGAGTCGTGCTGGGGAGGCACGCTCTTACCCGTCATTGACTCACCTACCCTGCTGTGTATTGTCACCTTATGGAGGAGAATGAGGGATGCCCGCCATATCTAGACTCGGTCGTGGGCCAATTGAGCAAGCCATGCATATGCCTGAGGATCTTCTTGTCCATTTCGGGCTACCGCTATTTCTATTCATCTTATTGGTTGGTCTGTGATGGATCTCCAGTAGGGCAGGTCTGATCTTCAGTCGAGGGCTTTGTTGCCCGTGTCAGTCTCTCCGGTATCCACAGTGGTTCTCGTCCCGGTTCCTGTGGGAAAACACAAACCGCGCCTCGGTTCCAGCTGACCACTGGATCCGGGCCCATCCATTGTCCTGTCAGGACATCTTTCCACTTCACCCACCCTTTATGGTTGGGGGAAGGGTTGCAGTGCTCCACAGCTGGGGAGCGATTATCATTATTTAAATTTAAAAAATTGTGTGTGAATAGTGCCATGGATAATCGTGCCTTTGGGGCCAGGCCTTGGCCTACTCCCCCTTTTTGTTTTTGTAAAATTTCTTTGAGGCTTCTATGAGCCCTCTCAATGATTCCTTGACCTTGGGGATTGTATGGGATACCATGTTTTAATTGAACCTCCATCATTTTGCAGAACTCATTGAAGGCTTTGCCTATATAGGCTGGTCCATTATCAGTTTTTAATATTTTTGGTTTGCCCCATGCGGCCCAAGCTGCCAGGCAATGATTGATCACATTAGACACTTTTTCACCTGTTTCTGCTGTTGCAAATATGACGTGAGAACAGGTGTCTGTGGAAACATGAACATATTTAAGAGTCCCAAACTCCTGTATATGTGTGATGTCCATCTGCCAAACATCACCAGGGATCAAACCTCGAGGGTTTACTCCCATCGGTATGGCAGGTTTGTATGTGGCACAGGAGTCACATAGTCGCACGATATCTCGTGCATCTGCTCTAGAAACATGGAAATGGTTTGCTAGTGTCCTGGCATTAACATGAAACTTATCATGGAAGGCACGGGCTCGCTCGATTGGTGTTAGTAAGGTAAAAATCCATAACGGGCGAGTGGCAGTGTCAGCAGCCGCATTCCCCTGTGCCATAGGCCCTGGCAGGGATGTATGTGCTCTTATGTGGGTGGTGAAGACCTTATGGTGTCTGTTCTGAAGCAATGTCTGGATAGACAGGAACAGTCCAGCCACTGTGGAAGTGGATCTAATTAAACCGGCAGTCTCAAGCACTTGCATAGCATTGACCACATACCTAGAATCGGAGACAATATTAATGGCTTCTGAGAACCGTTCAAGAATCATTTTAACGATCTGCAGTTCCACCACCTGAGGCTGATCTGGTTTAAATTGTATGGTAACCGGGGGCTTGCCTAGGATCACATAGGCGCCTATCCCCGTCTTGGAGCCATCTGTGTATATTGTAGTTGCTGGGACTAATGGCTCAGAGGCAGTAACCTTTGGAAAAATTATAGGGTGCTGAGTGACAAATGACAAGATAGGGTCTTTAGGGTATTGATTGTTTATATCCCCATGGAAAACACATCTCAGAATGGCCCAAGTATCTATGCAGGCAGCCAGGGTCTTGATCTGGCTGGCGGTATAGGGTACTCGGATGGCTTGTGGTCCTGAGCCAAAATGTTGGACAGCTCTATCATGCGCTTCAAGGGCCAATGAAGCGACTGCCTCCGGGTAATGCTCTATGACTTTTGCAGGTGAGACCTTAGGGTGTATCCACAGTAATGGTCCTTTCTGCCAAATCACCGCTGTAGGCTGTAGACTAGTCTGTAGCAAACAGACATCAAAGGGTCGCCCTGGTTCAATTCTGTGTAAGGTAGCCCCACCTAAGGCTTCCTCCACTCTCTGTAAGGCAGCTCTTGCCTCAGGAGTGAGCCTCCTGTGGGAGGCTATATCTGGGTCTCCCTTCAGAAGGTCGAACAGGGGTTTGAGATCTGAATTTGGTATATGTAAATATGGCCTAATCCAATTAATGTCTCCCAATAGTTTTTGCATGTCATTTAGGGTCCTAACGCCATCCGTCCTAATGGTGACCTTCTGTATAAGTCTGGAGGCGACACTGAGGTCCACACCTGCTGACCCAGGGGTGGCCCTTGTTGAAGGCTGCCATCCTGAGCTGTCCTGTCTCTGGGGCGGGGGCCCGCCTGTGAAGGGGGCCCCCTCTGGCCGTTTTTTGGCTCTCTAGCATCTTGTCCACAAATACGGTTGCCCTGAGCATCAAAGACCGACCTACACTCCTCAGCTTTGTGTGATCCCCTCTTGCATCGCCCACAAACATATGGTTCTTCATTCCTAGGACGAGGCCTAGCATCTGCATTGTTTGGGCAATGACGTTTAATGTGTCCTGGCTCCCCGCAGGCAAAACACCCTTTAGCCTTACATTCCCCTTCTAACCCGCGAGGTCCCCTCTGCTGTACAGCCGCGGCCAGGAGAGCAGCCACTCCCGAGTTGGAGAGCGGCCCCCCTATCTCTCTGCATATCCTAATCCAGGCGTT